GTTGTTTGTTTTTGTTTTTTGGTTTTTTTTTTTTTTCCCAGGCATCTCAGTGCAGCAGCCAGAACACATAGCATCTGTCTGTCTGTCCATCATCTGTCCCAACAGGTTAACCCCCCCCCTCCATCCTGCCTCTGCACAGTCTGCTCAGCAGCCATTTCTGGCAATTTAGCAGGCAGTTACAAGAAAATATTCTTCATCTTTATTAGGCACATGCCCCAGACAGTGCCAATGGTATAAACATTTGGATTCAATTTATTATTTTTTCTGTACTTCATCCTGGTGCTGCTGGGAGGCTGGGCAGGCTGGGCAGGATGAGGCTGGGGGGGCAGCGGGGATGGGAATGAGGAGGGGGATGGAGGTGTGTTGGGCTACAGCACCTCCCCTTCACCCATGTGGGATGGGATGGCAGTGCCCAGAGCTGGGGCAGCCTGACTCCTGCCAGCAATCCTCCAACTGAAGGGCTATATGTGTATATATGTATTTTTTCCATTCACCCATGCAGAGCTGCTGGCAGGGCTGAAGCTCTCGTCCAGCATGCAGGTGCCCAAAATAGCTGTGTCTGAGTGAGACTGAAGAAGTGCTCGCGGTTGGTTGATCGAAGTGCACACGTGGGAATGCTGCCACAAACCACAGGGCTCCTGCAAGACTGCTGTGAGCCCTGCAGGCACTTCAGTGGGCTCAGCACGGGGGGAGCATGCAGAGAGGAAAGCCCCCAGCAGGCAGCCCTCACTCCTGCACCCATCCATGCTCTGATGTAGGTTTATAGCATACATAAGTATACTATCACGGAGTCACAGAACGGTTTGGGTTGGAGGGGACCTTTAAAATCATCTCATTCCAACCCTGTGCTATAAGCAGGGACACCTCCCTCTAAACCAGGTTGCTCACAGCCATATCCAGCCTGGCCTTGAACGCTTCCAGGGTGGAAGCATCCACAGCCTCACTGGGCAACCTCTTCCAGAGTCTCACCACCCTCGCAGTAAAGAATTTCTTCCGAATATCTAATCTAATTCTCCCCTCTTTCAATTTAAAGTCATTTTCCCTTGTTCTGTCACCACATGCCCTTATAAAAAGTCCCTTCCCAGCTTTCCTGTGGGCCCCTTCAGGTTCTGGAAGGCCGCTCTCAGGTCCCCCCAGAGCCTTCTCTTGTCCAGGTTAACCGTACTGCACATCTGTCCATGTATACATGAATATTCATATATATATATATATATATATATATATATATATATATATGAATATGCAAGCAGCTGAAAGTACGTATATGTATTCATGCATGTATGTTTCTGACGAGATTTTTCTATAGATCATATAAATATACATAACTAATGTATAAATATATACATGCACAAACTTAGTCGGAAACAGGAAACAACTGGTTTACCTTTCCAAAATGAGTCATAGCAATGTACAGCGTTGAAAATAAAGTAGGATGTGGGGTTTGAAGGCTTTTTTTTCCCCTGAGGGCTCATCTTTATGCCTAAGATCTGCTAATTTTAAAGCCAGATCTCAGCAAAATCATGGTACCATGCATTCCTTTCATTTCACTTTCATTTCGCAGGGCTCCAGGTTTACTTAACATGCTAGCATGCAAGAAGCAAACGTAAACACGAGCAGCTGATGTTACTCAAGAAAACAAATGGACGGCTGTATCTGTGCACTCCCCAGTGTTTATCCAGAGGGAGAGATTAAACGGGAACCACTCAGGCGAGCTTAGCCTGATTTTAAAAGGTCTTTTGAGTGCTGAACATGTAATAAGATGCTCAGTGCTATTTTTGAGGCAAGATGCTCCGTGCTGGTTTATAAAAGGCCGTGCTCTCTGGCTTTGTATGTCTAAAAGCTCCTCAAAATCTGCTGCTGGGACTCTGGGGCCCATCATGTCAGTGGGAACGAATGCTGGGCTGCCCACCCACCTCCAGGCACGGGGCTGGAGCTCACCTCTCGCCTTTCTGTGCTGCATTATTTCTCCTTAAGCTTCTTTCTTGCATTGCTGATGGAAGCTGAGTAGAGTGGCTCTTACAGAAAGATGCAGAACACCTTTCTGTAAGCAGCCAACAGCAATGATGCTCACACGTGGGCATTACCTCTGTGTCTCTGCTGTCACGCAGGGCTGTGCAACACCGAATTTAAACACAACGGTGTGAAATTACGTCTTCAAATTACATACATGGATTCTAACATCTAAGCAAATAAATAAACAATAGATGCACGTTTGAACAAATCTCTGCATAATTCTTTAAATGTTATGTATGAGTTTTAATGCCCACACAAGTAAACAAATGCAGTCATGCACATCTGTAGAGGATGGGTATAACCTCTGCAGCCCAGCACCTGCCGGGGCACAGCCCAGGTTCAGTGGCTGAGGAGTTTGTGGCTCTCAGGCTCTTGCCTTTATTGCTCAGTTTCACCCTAAAGCACTGCAGCACAGGAAGCTCTGACCTCTCCATGGGAGACATCTCCTTCTCCCCCCTCTCCACGCCATCCCCCAGCCCCAGTGCTGCCGGGCTTTCAGCACACAGCTGATAAATCTGAGCCTGTCATTGCCCTCACACAGCAGGGTCTTATCTGTGCTATCATCCCTTCCCGTGGCACACCTCTGTGCCCCAAAGTTTGTGCTGCACTGTCAGCACAGGGATAGGGCTGTGGGGTGAGGACAGATCCCCCAGTGAGGCCCTGGGGTGCCCCATCCCATGGGAAGTGTTGGAGGCATCGAGGTGGCTCCGGTCCCAAGAAGAACCCATTCCTCTGCTCCCAAAGGGACATTCGCTGCTCCCCCACATCATCCCCACAGTGCTGTGGCTGTTCCTGCAGGCAGAGCAGTATCAGCAGCTGCAGGGCTATCAGGCTGAGCAGAAGCTTTGCCAGGAACTATCTCGAGCAGCACATGACCGTGCCGGCCGGCGATATGGGACAGGCATGCAGCAGTCCCCCATGCAGGCAGTTGACTTTGTTATTCAGACTATTTTAGTGATGGGGTTTTTAATCCCAGGCTTAACTTTTTCTTTCTCTCTTTTTTTTTTTTTTCTTTCCTTTTTTTTCTCTCTGAACAAGGGAATCTCTGCGCTGGCAGGATTCAGAGAGGCACAAAGGAGGGAAAAACAAGTTTCGGCCAGAAGTGGGGAAAAAAAGAAAAGGATGCTGTTAGCATTCCCTGTGTGTGAGGGGGTAAAACCGTTTTGCTGTGAACTTTTCATTTTAAAGGGCAAGTGCCACCAGCATCCCTGCTGCCATGCAACCAAACCCCACTTCAGGCCTTTCCCTCGCAGATGAGAAATTCTGGCTTATGCTGCAGGAGCAGGGCTGCATGTGGGCAGCACTGCACTGCCTGAGCACCCCAGGATGTCACTGTCCTTTGGGTCAGGGTGACAGTCCTGGTGTTGAGGGATGTGCTGGCATTTAAGGCAATGCTGACAAGTGGCAGCAGGTGGATGTCCTGCAGCTCAACGTTCACCTGGATAGCCCCAGTCTGATGCTTTCCTGGGAAAAGTATTTGCATTTGTCTTGCAAATGACTGAGCATACAGGCACAGCTGCAGGGAGGTGGCCTGTACCAGCATGGAAATAGCAGCCCAACACAAGCTCTCTGGCCATAGGACAACAGAAGCCACATGGCACAGGGGAAAGATGAGGCTCCATCTAGCAGTGCACTCACACAAAAATAATAATAATTAAGCTTTTAAACGATTGCAAGGCAATTTAAGCACTTTTCCTGACAGATGACACTTCAGAGGCCTTGGTCTTACTGACTGAGGGAGAGGCAGGCCCCAGGTGCAGGCAGCAGCCAGTGCTAAGCCCTGCTGCAGGACCATATTGGGGCTTGGGGACAGGGATGCTGCAGGGCCAGGCAGTTCCAGCAGCTCCCAGCCCCAAAATGTGCTCCCCACCAAATACTCAAACAGGGAGAAGGAACTGCTGAACATCCCCACCCCAACAGGACTCCAAAGCCAGCAGCCAGGCTCCAATCCCGCCGGCGCTGGGCTGGACGCGGTGCTCAGCTCTTACTCGTTTGGCAGCCCCACAGCTGTATACAGAAAGTAATTACTTAAAAAGGAAATAAATGTCACCCGCATGGTTGTAAGTAAAACCCCAAGCAGAGCTAACAGAGCACCATCAGGCTCTGCATTCTCATGCAGTATGAAGAAGGGAGGAATGAGCTGTTTCCATTCATCTAGATGGGCTGTTTACTCTGAAGCCTACTGATGACGTTAGACATGCCCGCTCTGTGCCTTTAACTTCAACAGGGCAGTTGATCAGACACAGAACTGTCCTGCCTCTACTTCTGTCCTACAGCACCCTCTTCCCCCATCACAGCTTTAGGCATCATCACCTCTGAGCAGTAACATAACCTGGTGCCAAAGATGCAACACTTCTTGGCAACAGCCCTGCCCTCGCCTTTGCAGAGATTAAATAGATTGCTGTCGTGTTCAAACAGAATCATTTTATTTACTTTTAAAAACAAATATTGGAAATTCCTAATTGTCAAAATCCGAAAACCAAATTTCTAAAGCAAGTCAGTGAGGTCAAGTCACACGTGGCCATGTGAGCAATGCACAGGAGGTTCAGGGGATGCAGGCACCTCTGCAGCCCATAGACTGAGGCAGGGCTGGGGCAGAACACTGCCTGCTGCCTGAGAGCTCTGGGCTGAGATGGGATGGCAGCTGCCTGGCTTTGCACTGAGGCGGCACGAGGTGTAAGCACTGCTGCACAGGCTCAGCACCCATCTGCCCTGCTCCACACACAGTGCCTGTGCTCAAGCACCTGTGCCCAAGCACAGCCCCAGCACGATGCTCCCAGAGCTCAGAAAGCCCCAGCTGCCGAGAGTCACAGGGAGACACAGAGCAACCAACAGTGCATGCTGTGCCCAGGTAGTGACCACACAACGCAGTGCTGGGCTGAGGTCCCACCCTGGCACATCGCAGACAGAGGCCAGCTGCAACAGCTTGGTTTGATACACCCTAATGCACTCCAGCCAAGCAAACATGACTCCGTAACAGTATCCAATCACTTTAAAAGTTAAAATAGTTTATTGCTGTTCTTTGTAGAAATGCACTTAACTTACATTGCCTGTTCTCTTCCTTTATTTGGCTGTTGCGTTATAAGCATAAAAAGGTCACGTTTACTCATTTGTTCAGTGAATAACACCTTTCTTCCTTTTGCTCCACTCATGATATTCTCCTAAGCTTAGCTGGCCAACAGCCCCAAATCTCTGACATAAATACTGTAAATGTCTCCATAGTTTGCAGCATTGTAACAAAAGATCTACTGAAGTAGACAAAATGTTCCGTATTCTTGGTTGGTTTTTTCTTTTTTTTTCTTTTTTTTTTTTTTTTTTGCATTTTAAAAATATACCTAAATTTGAGATAATCTTAACAGAGTAACAATTACAATAAGAAAATAGTACAGTGCGTTGACTAAAGGAATATTCAGCCCTCCCTCGAGCTGATATTCCCTTTTGCAAGTTGAAGTGATTCAGCAATTACTTAGGAACTTTTAACTACGTACAATAATTTAGTAAAATGAGAATTAAACAAGGCAGATACTTACTACTATTCTTCTGTCTGCAATTCACAGCTCATGCGAATAAAATCGCAATAAATATTAAAAAATAGTTTTTCTTTTTTTTTTCTTTCTTTTTTTTTTTTTTTTCTCTGTAAGGCATCTCTGAGTATTACAAAGTTTTTGTACAACCAAAAAATAAGATTGCTTTTCTCCACGTTCTCCGAGTACCTCTGTACCTCAACAGTAAATAAGAAAATTGCAGGTTCGATGAGGAGGGCTGGGGGGGGCAGAAAGAAGCCCACAGGTGATGGAAGCAGCCTGCGACACGTGCGAGGAGCTGCAGTTTTCCTGTGAATCATTTCAGTCACTTTAAGAACATCTTCAAGACGCGATCTGTCCAGACTGAAAAACAACTTACCCGAAGTCCTTCTTTGTGAGCACAGTCAGACTGCGAGGCTTTGGGTTTGCCCGTAACACTAGAAATAGCTTAGGTATTGATATGCACCTAAATAAATGGGAGACAGGTCAGGGCGACTTTTTTTTTTTCCTTGTTTTTTTTTATGTTTGTTTTGGTTTGGGTTTTTTTTGTTTGTTTTTTTTGCATCTTGGTTTTGTTTTGTGGCTTTTTGCTTTTTGCTTTTTCTCTTTTGCCGTTGCTTTTGTTGTCCTAATTGTCTCCTTCCATTGCAAAGGACTTGTCCCAGCAAGGGGGGGCTCACTGCATGCGGTCGGGCTGCAGCTGCTGGGGCTGGTACTGCACAAAGGCGGTGGCGGGCGCTGCCGGGGTGCTGGCGGTGATGGGGGGCTGCACAGCCCCCGTGTAGCCGTAACCCACAAAGCCCGCGGCGGGAGAGGCAGCGTAAGGGTACTGGTCATAGGCAGCTGTGGTGTACTGGGAGTAGGCTTGGCTGGCGGCGGTGTAGTCGATGTAGGGAGATGCGATGGACTGCACGGGGGTGGGGATCACCACGCTGGGCTGAATGATAGCTTGGGGGTAAACATAGTGAGGCGTGAGTCTGTGGGAGCAAAGGGAGAGGGTCAGTGAGGGGTCCAGCCCGCTGTCCCTGCCTGTCACCTCCATGCTCCCTCCCCGTGCCCCATGGGCTGCTCCCCGGGCCTTCCTCGCTGTTATCAGTTAGCACACATTTAGGCTGGTGTTTCCATAACACGGGATGTTTAGGGCAACGCTACAATGTGTTTGTTGTAAAACACGAGATATTCTTTCTGGTTTTCTTCCCCCCCGTCATGCTCTTTGGTGGCTGTTGGGTCAGAGCAGCACTCCAGGATCACCGGTCTGTACCTTGAGTTGCTGCTGGCAGGAACCGAGCCGTGCACAGACCGAGCCATCCTGGGGATGCTTAAGGCAGGACTGCCTACTCGTTTGTTAGGAACTGCTAATAAGCAACTAATAAATAAATGAATAAATACATAAAAACAGAAGGAAATGCCCATGAGAAGATTTGGGGCTGCCAAAATAGTAGCTGACAGCACGTTACAACCAAAAAGCAGCGCCCCGTGCCCCAAGAGGTGCCAGCCATGTGCAAAGGCTCTCCATCGGACTGCCGTGCTGCACTGAGTGGCAGCAGTGACACAGACATACCCCACACAGCTCCTCATCCCCACCCCCAAACCCCACTTGCTTTGGCAAACAAAAACCAAGGTATAACTCTGCACCACGCTTATGCAGATTCAGGCATTTGGGGGACTGTTGTGTGGATGTGTGTGACAGTGCATTTTCAAACGCGACCACTTTTAAAAGCCTCCCACAGGCTTTTCACACGCTGCAGGCTGCTGCATGCCTGAAGTGCTTTGCGAAGCGGAGCTCAGCTGCTCAGGGACCCACTCTTCCATTTGATCCCTGTCAGAAATAGGGCAGCAGAACCCCGTGCGCTGCCCCAGCCGTGGCCTGGAAGCTTCTGCAGGGCCTCTCACTCCCTCACCCCACCTGAGCACCGCCCAGGGCCTCAGCCGTGCCTTCAGTGCCCTGGGGCTGCCCCTGCCAGCAGCTACGGGGCTGTTCCCATTTGCTCTCCAGCCAGCACTGGATGCTTTCACCCGCTCTTCAGGCAGGAGAAAGGCTTTCCCCAAACAAGCACACACGTTATCTGATCTTTCTCTTGTTTTGCCACTCGAACACTGTTTTTTTCTGTAGGCAATTTGCACTATGACAGAATGATTGTTATCCTTCCTCCTCTCAACAACTCTGCCTCCTCAGATGAAAGGAGGTGGCAGCACAGGCATGGGGCAGGATGCATGGCAAGGAGCAGCACCCCCATGTTTGGCTGATTAAATGCAATGGCCACCTCCAGAGCTCACAGGGAGCCTTTCAGTCCAGAAATACACAGTACCCGATATCAGCCAGTGACTAACAAGAATGAAATGAGGTGACAGACATTCACTGAATCATTTTTGTTGCAGTTGTGATCCAAATTAAGACCAGCATGGCTCAGTCAGAAGCTCCCACCAGAGCTCAGACCTCAGGCTCAATGTCCCGTGCTCGCATCGGATTGCAGCAGGCGCCTCTTCCTTGGGCCATCAAGCCTTTGCCTGTGGAATGACTCGGCTGGGCTGACAGCCTCTGGGAAATCCATCAAAGCTACACCCCATGTGAGTGCATGCTCCAGGGGCTGTCTCTAAGCACACGGCTCCTCTTGAAGCATGCTCCAAAGAGACAGCGAGCCTGCAACATCCTAGACTGCTACTTCCTCAGCAAGGAAAGTTTCCATCTCTTCAGTGCCTCTTTGAATAAAAAGCACCATTAGCTAACAAGACAAGGAGTATTCTTGTACCCTGCTTCCAGAAATAAATCCCAGCCCAGCGCATACACAGGCACGCATCACACATCAGTTTACTGCACTGAAAAAACTCCAGCATCATGTTCTGTGTGAAGGGAAGGCTCTTCTGGTCTGTGGGTTTCTAGCATTTAGTTATAGGAGATTCACTACAGATATTATGGAGTCTGGGCTTCTGAATTAGCATATAGGTGGAGAGTCATTTGTCAACCCAAGGTAAGGTCAGTTGGATTACTTGCAGCTACAAAGACAACAAAACCAGTACAGCAGACAAAGTTAACTGCTGGCTGCATTTAGCATCTCTAGAAACAAAAAAAAAAAACCTCCTTTGGAGTGCTGTATTTTTCTACAGACCAGCAAACTGTAACCTGAACATCTTCCAGAATGATATGTATTCACATGCCTTCCCTTCCTCCCTGCAGCTTTCCTCATCTCCACAACAGGCCCTGCAAGCCAGAAGGGAACTTCATCCAGAGTGCACAGCACAAGTAGGAAACATCACCCAGGTGAGCAGCAATTGCCACCACCCCCATTGCCCCCACCAGCAGATGCAGCAGATGCTGATGGCATTGGTGGCGATGGGGGTGAAGGCCCAGCAAGAATCACTCAGACCCCTGCAAAGTGTGCTGGTCTGAGAAAGCTGGAGCTCCCGGTCCCTTCGAGCTCCGCCAGCCACACAAGAGCTGCCTTTGCCAAGGTGGGAGACAAGTGCAGTCCTCTGTCAGGAGGGACACAGCATCACACAGACACTTAGTAAACAAGAAGAAGCACGGGGCTCTTGGCAGCCTCACAGATCAGCACACAAATGCCACTGCCATGGCCAGCCATTTAGTCCTTGAAGAATAAAAGAAACAGAGCCCTTTGTGTCTGCCACTGCAGGCACAAACGGCAGCATTTCCCCAGGAATTTGGCCTCCATTTCCACCAGAGTTGACCTGTCAGCTGCTACAGAGACACCCACACTGCCCCAACACGTGATGCCAGGACAGACGGATGTGTTTGAGCCCTCTGGGTACACAGCACCAGCAGTGATATCATGAGATGCTGGGCTCCAGCTGGTAGGTACCACAGCAACGCAAAAACTGCCTGCACAGAAGTAACATGTCCAACCACAGCCTGGGTGATCGGTTTGAAGAGAGATTTTGAAGAGAATTTGTGAGTCTAAGTGCATCAGACCAAAGCTGCTCTGAGAAAACCCCTGGCTGAAGTGGTGCAGCACCACTGTGGTGTAAGTGATGACACATCCTGCCATGGCCGATGCCCCAGGAGCAACATTCCTGAAGGACAAGGACAGCACACATCACACAAGGAGCTGCCTGGGCTCTTTAACCCTGGGTGAAACACTGGTGTCTGGGCAATGCCTACAGCCACAGTGCCAGGCTGCAGAAATGCAACAAATTCAAGTCCTGTTCTCAAATCCAAACACAACGCAGAACGGTTTGATGCAGACTGGGACACTGATTCTGCACTGACCACTGTGCAGTTCATCAGCATTTACTGACTTGGGCTGGGCTTCAACCACTGGCATGACAGACTTCTGATTCCTGAAATGTCCCTATTAAAGTGTGCATTGAAATGTCAATGGTTTCTGCCTCATCAGCCAGATTCCAAACAGACAAGGGTGAGCCACTGAGACTGTGTATGTACCCTCGCCTGCTGTACTGTGACACAAACACAAATCAGCACCAAAAAAGGAAAAAAGAAAAAAATTCTGCTCATCTTGTAACTGATTTGCCTGTCTGTCTTCTGCTCTTCCTGCTCTAGTCCTTTGGAAACAGGTACATACTGAGTTTCCTGCTTGGTTGCCACAGTGTGCTGGTGGCAATGGCCGAGGAGCAGCCTGCTGCAACACTGTCCCAGGCAGGAATCAGTACAGAGCAGAAAGTGAGCATACTGCAGGATTCAGTGACAACCCCTACTGATAGCTGAGCACCCCAGAATCACTGCTTAAGAAATACAAATGCCAACTATTTATGATTACTGTGAACATTCATGATTTCAAACTAACTTCATTTTGTCAGGAAAAAAAAACACCATAGGGGACAGGGAGCACTGCAGGAGCTGAGAACCCAACACAGCCCAGCGATGCCATCATTTTACAGCCTTAGCTAATCTTGACTTTGTGATGCAAACTAATGAAGGTGGATCCCACAGAAAGAAATAAAAATAAATGCCATCCACGCCTTCATCAGGAAGCACAGCCAGTGCAGAGGTGTGGAAAAGAAAGAACAAAAAAGTAAACAGAAAGAGGATGCCTATCAAAGATGAGAACACATCTCCTACAACGACCTAATCCTTTTTCTTAACCAAGAGCCTGAGAGTAACATCCTGAGCTCCACCACCAGTTAACCAGGCTCAACAATTCACAGCTTTATCCTCTGCATCTCGTCTCCCACACACCCATGGGGAAAAGAAAAATCAGTAGTAATTCCAAACAAAAGTGCAGTGGGACAAACCAAAAACAGATTTGGAAAAGCAGGCTGGAAACCACTCAGGTAGAAGAGGTGGAAATAAAATCGGCCTGAAACAAGAGCCATCTGGCACCAGGGAAAAAGCCACATGGAAGTTTATCCACAGCCAGTCAGCGATCCAGAGTTATCAGCACAGCCAAAACAGATACAGACTGACTGGAGCAGCAGAAAACTCTTCACCTCAGTCATCTGCAGGTGCCTTCAGCATCAAGGAGAGAAAGCCAGTAGGATGTGTTCATTGTGTCCACATAGGAGGAAAACTAATGGCTCTGAGAGATTAACGCCCAGGAAGCCCCAGAAATTCCACTTTCAACTGAGCTTTCCCACGTTCCTCTGCATTTTGGGAAGGTGCAAAAGCTGCAGAAACATCTTTAAAGTCTTCTCCAGTACCTGGCAAGCTTGATAATAATATATATATATATTAAGCTGCCTACATTTAACTGAGTATTTCTAGCAGGCTTCTTTTTATATGATTCTTTCCACTGATTTTTAATTAAAATCTTCATACATTTATCAAAGTTCTTTCCTGGATATACAAAGTATTTTGAAGCAAAGTGCTTTACCTCCAGAAGAAGCAGTGAAGTAATAGGTTTTCTTTTATCAGAAATAGATAATGGATAAAACAAGCGGTTGCTCAGACAAGAAAGAAATTTGATTTCAAGTGTTTCTGGGGTGTCTGCTGCCAGCTGTGCCTTCAGCAACTGCCCCAAGCCCCCAGCGAGGGCACAGGGCAGCTGACACACAGAGGGAATCAGGGTCAGTGCAATCCTGCTTACGGGATCAAGAAATTAAGAAATAGGAGAGTAAATTTTCACTCTGAGGTCCAAGACTTTTCATCTTTTGTGATCATAAAGTATATTTAGCTCTTGTATGCAGCCTGCTCCATCTGTGGGGAAGAAGTTCTTTATAGAAGTCATATTTAGAAGTGACCCAGTGTCCTTGCTACCAAATTATCAGCACAACTGTTCCCTCATGGTGTCCCCAGCTCAGAAGCAGGCTGGTCAGAGCTGCATTTATCATTCGAATTACTGGGCATGTGTTTAATACCACAGAGTTAGGGACCAGCGGCCAGCAGCTGCGCTCAAGAAAGACGAGATCAGGAACAGGCTGGGCTGCTCTCAAAATTCAGGCACGTGCACAAATCCGCTGCCCTGGGATTAAAATGGCAATGGATCAGAAGAGGACAGGCTTACAGCTGCTGCTCCTTAGCTCCTTCAGCCAGGGGAAAGGACTTGGGTCACTGCTGCTACTGCTTTGGGACGGAGAACAGTAAGTCCACCAGCAGAGCCACGCAGAGGAGAGGGCACAGTGTGAGCCATGTGTTGATGAGACTAAGGCAGGGCCAGCTCAGCCCTGCTCTCCCTCACATACATCAAATGGCACAGTGAAGCCTGAATCAACAGCTCAGTCCCTAGGAAAGGTCCAGTGCTGTCCTGAGCTCAGCACCCCAGCTGTACAGCCACACATACAGTCAGTATATCAGGCTGTTCTCTCTTTGTGTCTTCTATAAAGATGCAGAACATGAGAATACTGCGTCCAAAATAACAGCACCAAGGCCTTGGCCCCAGTACCAACATTTGCCAACCTGAAGTAGACGTCCTAGTTTGCAAAGCCATCAGATCCATTTATAACTACAAGTCTATTCTTAAAAACAGCAAAAAAAAATAAAGAGTTCTTCCTGACTGGGAATCTTTTGGTCTGAATAGCAGCAAGCATGCCTGAGAACTAGCAGCTGAAGCCATTTGGAAAACAAATTTGAGTGTTTCTTAGGAAATCACCCACCCCCAAAGCTTTCATGGTATTGGCACGCGACACACAACAGGTGCTGATGAGCCTGCCCCACAGGAGCAGCAGAGCAGCCGGGGGTCCCACAGCAAGCCAGCTTTGGGACGTGGTGCAATGAAAGTCAGAGCTGGGGGTGCCAGCTGTCAGCCTGAACAGAGCAAGGGCAGCCTGTGCCTCTCTGGCCACTGAAAGCTTGTTTCTTCTTAATTTGAACTCTGTAGAGAAGTTTTAAGGATAAGCAGCTGCAAGGGAGGTGGGCTGACACAGATAGGGACCTCCTTCACTTCCCACTGCAGCAAGACCAATGCATGAAATGTCAAAATCACAGAGATTTAACCATTTCCAGTGTCACCCAGGACCACAGGCCAGCAAAATAAGCAACTGCAGAAGGATGGGAGATGAAGTCTCTGGAGCAACATCTCATGTGCAGATATGGAAAGAGCTGGATACTGCAAGAGACAGCTGTAAGTTTCCAAGAGCTCAGTCACTTACTCAGCCACTGGTAGATCTCCCACACAGATAGCCCATTTGCTGAGGCACAGCCACAGGAATGCAGCTGCCATGCACCGCCTGCACACAGAGCTGAGAGCACAGCTGGGAAGAGGAGAACCAGGGAATCCCCCTCCCTGCAGGGCTCAAGCCAGCCTGGGGCAGTGGGGTCACAGAATCATTATGGCTAGGAAAGACATCAAGATTACCCAGTCCAACCGTCGAGCCTCCTCCACTGAACCACGTCCCTCAGTGTCACATCTACATGCACCTTGAAAACCTCAGGGGTGGCAACTCCACCACTTCCCTGGGCAGCCTGTGCCAGTGCCTGACCGCTGTGAGAAGAAATCTTTTCTAATATCCAACCTGAATCTCCCCTGAGGAGGAGTCCCAGAGAAGAGGACCACAATGGGAGCACAAGGCAGCTCTGCCACATCACCAATGCTCCTGGCCAAGCGGCCTAGGCAGGTACTCTTAGCAGCTTCCAAAGATGCTTCAGATATTTCTCAAAATTTCTTTATAGGGACATTTCAACACTAAGACGTAAGTCCATCTACAGAGTCTTCCCATCCTCTGGTCACATAAACGCAGCTCCATGCCAGCTGGTAACCACAGGCAAATGCTGGGGCACTCCCACCTGCCCCCAAGCCAAGTGCAACCGACAAGCCACAGACTGAGCCCCCAGGGCTGCTTCCCTAACCCCAGAAGCCAGATCTCCAAGTCACCCTGACACAGCCACATCCCTCACCTCACATTACTGTTAAGATCTCCAGTTACCACAGCCCAGAGACTACTTTCAAAACAGGATTTACTACCGACTCCGTGCTGTCTGCTGTGTGCCTCCCCTGCCAGGACAGCAGGAGGAAGGAGAAAGGCTCCTCATGGTTTCTCTTTCTGTTCTGCATACCCTGGGCAATATTTACAGCTGCATTTGGGTCCCTGGGGCTGTGGGGAAGCCTTCGGTTTATAAATAATCTTTACTAATGTTTGGGTAACTTTCATCATAGTTTCCATTCACGTTTTACCAAAAAACCAGCATTTTGTGGCTTGTTTTCTCCTATCTAACTGCCTCATAGATCATGGGCTGTTCATTCATATCTTCCTTGCCACATCCAGCTTGCACACATAATACCCCACGTCCCATAAACAATCGTCGCTTGGAAACTCTATGGCAAGCCCTGGATGCAAACACTCTGCAGAGACAGAAGGTACAGGAGGGAGAACCCTGCAACACCTCGTGTGCAGCAAAGCAGAGAAAATAGAGAGCTCTGTTTGGGGAAGACCAGGATTTGCTCTACAATGTGGACAGCAAATGAGCAACAGCAAGTTGGCTGCACTTCCAAAGACTGCCAGACCCCGATAAACTCCTCATCCATCCTCAGATCCCACAGAGGACAAAGAACATGGTGAGTTCAAGGGAATACGAGAGCAGAGCCTGGCAGGCTCTTGTTTCTGCTGATCTAATGACAACACAAAGGGAAAACTGGCAGCCAAGCCCCACTGCTTGACTGAGCACCTGATGCTGTGCTCAGAAGCCACAGAACAGCCCCAGCCGTGGTGCTCAGGTAAATGGCTCCACGTTCTGCCAAACCCACATTTCTAGCCATTCTGCTCCAGTGGTGACTGAATGCAACGAAATTCATGTTTACCAATGCTTGCAAATAACGATATATAATCCTCTCTCCTTCCACCCCTCTGGTCTCCTGGTTCCTGTCTCTTGGCAACTGATAAATAATTTATAGTGCTCTCTGCTGTATGCACCAAGTGCAGCTCTGCTGGCTTAATGATGAAACCAAGAAGTGGAACAGGAGCCGCCTAGATCACAGGGAACACCTACTCACTCGATCCCACATTTTTCTGGATTTGAAGCTAAGAAGTGAACTGCTCAAAAAGAGAAACCACGTTTTCCACAGCCGCAGAGCTGTGGCTGCTGGGAGGCACACGAAGGAACAGCAGATCGTCTGCATGGGGAATAGGCACGGGTCAGCTCCTGCCTGCACACCTCGCCTGTTTGCTCATGAAAAACCTCATAACGTGCTGGGCTTTATCACCCAGCTCTACTGTGTGCTCTCGTGCATTTTGGAAAGCCTCTGGCAGTCACATCTCAGAGGCACTGCCTACCTCCAAGGCTCCGAAAGCTGCTGTAACTCCCAACACTCCTGAAGAACAACAGCTTCTCTATCCGTGCTATTGTGGCTCTCACACACAAAAAAACTCCTCTTCGTTTCACGACAGATGTTCTTCAAGTCCTTCCAACAGACCTGTGACCACTTATGAAAACTGGCATGTTTGAACTGTGCACAACGCATACACTGGGAGCGCGCTATTGTGGCAACACAGCCTCTTGCACCCATAAACTCACTGGAATGAGATTACCCAGGCAGTTGGCAACTGCAGGCGTGAGGGCAGAGGAGTGAAAGTTTCTATTTTGTTGTTAGCTCGTTTTTTTTTCTTCCCCCTCTTCCCTCAAAAAAGGCACAAGAAGTGCTACAAACAGAAAACAGGGAAGGGATGAAATATTTCTGTTGACAAAGGCCAAAATCCCATCTATTTATATTTGTCACATAAAAACTACAACAGAGAGGTGCTCAAAAGCCTTACAAAATGCACTACTTTCTTAATGCTCTTAGAAAATAATAATAAAAAACCTTATCAATATTCACTTTCTGAAATAGCATAGAAAAGGAAAGGCATCAATCATTAAACAGTTAAATGAAGGCAGTATGACAGTCACTATTGTTCTCGTGAAGCACACTTGTCTTTTCCCGAGCAGCTGCCAGATCCTATTAGATGTATAAAAAGAGGACTTTTCTAACCGAGCAGGGATGGTATAAGCTATTGAAAACAGCAGACAAAAGCCCACTTTTGCAGACTATTCAAGCCTTGTATAACATCTGTCCAAAATCAATTTTTGACCTAGTGTTACTTTCATTAAGTAACAGACTTTGTTTCCAATGCAATTTGTTTTCTAGGATAAAACTGTAGCCCAAGCATTATTACGTGGGAAACGGCGCAGAGGAAGCAGCTCTTATTTGAGAAACATGAGAACAGAATTTGCTTAATTGCTTTGACACCTCAAGCACTGCAACAGAGAAACTACTTTCCATATATCTGAATTCTCGTGAATTCTTGAAGCTGGCAAAGCAGCGAGCAGCGCGCCGGGTCTGCTGTGACCGAGACTTACTGAGGATAAAGGAGGATCTTTGGGAATTATATGAAAGCTGACAAACGCACAAAACTTCTGAAATCTCCACCAGAAATAAAGCACTCCCAGCATTAACAACAGCTGTTGCAACTCCCCTCTCCAGGCTCTTTTCACGCATTTTAAATAATGAGGAAGCTGATTTGCGAATCTGATTTCCACCCAACTGTTAAGAAACAACATCCACTTACCCAAAGGGTCTCTGGATGAAGGCTGGGTGGAGCTGCTGCACACCTATGGTAAAACCTGAAAAAACATTCAGGAAAACAATATGACCGAATGGCACCCACTGTGCCCTGCGGCTCAGCACACACACAGAACATCAGACCAACGCACATCCATTTTGTGTGCTGCGTGCGTGAGCAAACTTAGAGCCCCGTTTAGGAGCAAGTTCGTTTGGTGCACAGCACGCAGCAGATGGGGATTCAGATTAAAGGATGGTGCCATCAGCACAGACAACGGGCACAACACCTCATCTACCGCCCGGCACCGCGGGTAAAATTAAACCCCAGGGCAAAACGCTGAAATGGATCTCGGTGCTAACGCTGACGTAACGGAGGGGAGAGCAGGAAAACAGATCGGCCGGGGAAGAAAAGGGCTTTAACTCAGTTACGTGAACTTGGGTGCGCTGTGCTGGTGTAACAGGTACAGTAATGGATACGGCACAGAGGTAACGCGACCACAGCGCGTCCTCCACCAGCAGCACCCAGGGGCGAGCAGGCAGCGTGCCGATCAGCCCGAGCACTCCTTCCGTGCCGCAGCAACCTAACAAGAGAGGGACGGACCTCTCGGGCTCCTCACCGGTTTGAATACTCCTCGGCTTTGCTCCCAGATACGCCAGGTTCACGTTTGCTTTCCTGCCATCGATGATAGGGTTGGGGTCTTTGCACGCTCGCTCAGCCGCGGCTCTGTCCGCCATGGTCACCTGGAAGGACAACCACGTCGTTTGTAGCGACCGCGCCTCGGCAGCGCTCCGCCAACGGGCGCCCGGACCGCTTTGTTTACCGCCGCGCTTCGGTCCGGCACTCAGCTCAGCTCCGCTCCGCTCCTCGGAGCGCCCCGTGCCCAAACGGGCTGCGTGCCCCGCACCGAGCTGCCCTCAGCCGGCGGCTCTCCTCGCCTTCCTGGCGCTCCGTTAGGGCACTTAGCGGGGCCGGTCCCGGCAGTCCCAGCGGAGCGAGGACTTTGGGGGACGCACGGAGCGGTACCGGCACCGCACCGCACCGCACCGCGCCCTTCGCCCGCGCGCAGCCCGGCCCGCGGCGCAGCGCTGGGGCGGCACTTACAAAGCCGTATCCCCGGGATTTGCCCGTCTGCCGGTCGGTGATCACCACCGCCTCCTCGATGTCCCCGAAGACTTCGAAGTACTTCCTGAGGGAGGAGTCGGTGGTGTGGTAGGGCAGCCCCCCGACGAAGATCTTGGTGAAGGTAGTGTCCTTCTGCACGGTGTGCATGGTGCCGGGCGCGGCCGGCCGCAACCGGCATCCACCCGCGGCCAGAACCCCCTCCCTCCCTCCCTGGAGGCGGCGGCGGCTCCCAGCGGCCTACAGCGGGCTCATGGCCGCGCTTTGTCCCGTCAGCGCGGGCGCCGCCCGCCCTCCCCGCCCGCCGGTGCCGGTGAGTATCGGCCGCGCGCCGCACCGCCGCCTTTGTAGGGCCGCGCCCGGCCCCGCCCCGCGCCGCACCGCCGCCGCGCAGAGGCGCTCGGGGCGCGTAGTCCGGCCCTGCGCCCGCCGGGCACCGGCGGCGGCCCCGGAGGAAGGGAGGGAGGGCCGAAGGCCGAGAGCGGAGTGCCGCCACACAGCCCGCCTCGGGCGCGCCGGCGGCACCGCCCGCCTCCTCCTGCTGCACTGCGAGGGCGGGGGTCTCCTGCACCGCACCGCACCAAACAACACCGCACCGCACCAAACAACACCGCACCGCACCCCTTCACCGCCGCAGCTCCCACGCCCCGGTTTCCATCAGCCTCGGAGCCTTCGGCTCATCCTGCGTTATGGTTTTAGAGTGGGGCAGAAGGAGTTTTGCCGGGCGATAAATGCAGGGGTAACATTTTAGCGAGAAAACCATTCAAGGGTCTGACTCCATCCTTTGGCTTCTGAACAGACTCGGCCTCTACAGACGTTTCTTCTACAGAGCCCACAGAGAAAAGCCAGTTATTTCCAGAGAAAGGAATGCATTAAGGTTGCACTCCATCGTTATTCATTAGTATTTTTTCTTGCACTGTTTCCATAGCTCTAAACATCCTATGCTCCATAAGAGAAGAAAGGAAAGCCGTTAAGCTTTTCATTCCTAAAGCCCCAGACTTTAAGGCTAAGACACATTTCCACTGATTGCTGTAGAGGTAGATGGAGCTGAGCTGGCACAGCCAGCATCCCTCAGCAGCAGCACCCTCTGAACAAGGAGCAGCCAGGGACCATCAGCCATTGGTTCCCAGCAGCACAGCCCACAGCCAGGGCACATCTCAGGGGTCAGAACGCAGTGGGAGCTGCACCTTTGTGACACTGCATCGTTGCCCTATGCCTGCATGACTTCCCCCACAAACTGCCCTCTGGGCCACCCTTGGTGAGCAACAACCCAGTTGGCATTCAATCACCAGCCCTTAACAGCCCTCACTCTGCTCCACGTGGTGGCAGAGATTCAAACCATGCACATGGACTCCTGCCCCAAGGAAGGCAAGGCTCCTGGAGTCCTCGAAAACTGCCACAAACATCTCAGCTCTCGCCACTCAAACCCATCAGAACAAAAACCATCACACATACTGTTCTCTTTTCTGCCTCACTGCACCCCACCTCTCTCTCAGGATGAGACCCAATTCCTCTTCTTTCGTGGAGACAGCAATGGGAGCTCTCTGCAGTCAGAAGAGAAGAAAGAAATGAGGATTCAATCCTCGCTCTGAATCCCACAGTACCACTGGCACTGGGGGGTGGGGGGAGCACACATTTGCTGTGCCACAGCCTGCAAGCAGGACGGGAAATGAAATCTCCTGTTTCATGATGCAGCTATTACAAACACAGCCTGAGATGTTACCGAAACACAGTGGAAAGGAAAAGAGAAAGAAAGAGAGTAAGAGTAGCTTTATGAGAGCCTATATATCTATAATAGAAAAAGTAAGTGTCTATGTATATATTATAGAGATACATACAATTACTTTAATTTCGGGGGGAGCTGGCCTCCCCCTAACACCAAGCGATTTGATTCAGCCAGCAGATCAAAGCTGCAGGAGCTGATGTTTTCCCGTGCTTTTATTATGATAAGAGGAATACCTGAGAAGAGCATGTTTTGAGCTTCTTTGGTCAACTCCTGCAGACATTGGATGTATCTCCAACTACAGAGCTGCCTTGGGAACACTGGGCAACGCTCAGCACAAAGCTGAGAGATGATTGCAAGCAAAAAGTCACAGAAGCAGCAACGCTGATCTGATACGTGCTATCGCACAGCTCTATAAAGCTCTGTGTAGTTATTAAGAATTAAAAGTACGCCGGTCACCCAACACAGAGGCAATAAAAGTCCTATCTGGCAGCAGTGTGCAACTGTCAGTACTCCTGATTTATGTGAATTGTATGGCACATCCAGAGCATCCTATCCTAATACACACTGGGAAGATTAATTTCATGATAACATAGTTAAGAAAACTCACTGATTTCTTACTTACATTAATATACTTCTACTCACGTTCATCTACTCCTTAAGGCTGATGCAGAACTGATACACAAAGGCTCCTCCCAGTGGGCTCCAGCAGCAGCATATCCCACAGCCAACACAGAGCAGCTGCAGGTCACCAAACCACGTGCACGGAGTCTGTTGGGAGCTTTAGCAAAGGCACTGTAAGATCAAACAGGTACAGAACCATAGAAACGTCCCTGACTAAAGGAACGAAAACAAATGGTGGCAGAGGGAGCTGTGTGCCTGACAGCACAAGAGCAGGATCAAAGAAAAGCAGATAGCAAACTCATTGCAGGGAGAAAGCTAGCCCCGTGCCCTGCCTGCTGTTAAGCCTGCCCTGCTCTTGTCCCTCTCTTGCAGGGATGGACAAAACAGCTGCCAGTGAGGCTCAGTGGTACTGTCCTCACGTACATTTCTCCTTTGTTTGGGAGAAGTGTGCTGAGATAGCACACATCTGATCTGAAAGCTATTAAAGAATGTCCCTCGTTTCTTAAGAAACTGATGGGCTTTATTTTTAGAATGGAGCAGTGCTACTGTGGAACTCTGACCTTTTCCAGTTTCTGCTGCTGCTCAGCCAAGGCTTCGTGGCTGCAGGGCAGTGCCCTTGGATTTTGTCATGGATACCCACTCACTGCTTGTTGCAACAGTAGATGAAACATGCCTTTCAGATGCTCAGCAGTTAAATAAGTTAGCTCAAGAGCAAGGGACTTAGTGTGGGAACAGTTTGGTCTGTTAGTTTTACTAATGCTCTGCCTGGATGCTGGCCACCAGCTCGGCTGTGAGCAGCAGTGTTGCAGGGAGACCTTGGGGGAAGCTGCGTTCAGTGGCATTTGGTTTAGGTTATGGCAGGAAATTCTGCATCTGGGCCCTTTGTCTGATTTTCTGCTTTGATGCCCTGAACACACCACGACCACTGCTTAATTCAGAGCTGCTGCAATGAGAATTAAAAAATAAATATTCTTTCTCTTCAGGCCACTTTTAATAAAATATTTGAATAGAGGATGTTCCTAGTCAGGAGTGCTCTTTGAATAGGCTTTTGCATTAGTAGGAGTCTTCCAGTAGGATTATTTTCTGTTCTGAAATATTTCAGAACCGGGGATGCTGAGCATGCTCCATTTCTTTTGCTGGCTCCACTGGTTGCACACAGGCAGACCATTAGCTCTAGTGGACACAGAGTGGTCTGATTTCATGCTGCAGGTAACCTGCAATGAACAAGCACAACAGGATGCCACATGAATATGGACGTTCTATAGTTTGGAGTGCTGTGCTTTGCCTTTTGTTGATGGCATGCATGCAGATCCTGCAATTTCTTTCCCCCTTCTTTCAGTCTTGTACTTCACACGGTCGACAGGCAATGTCAGGAATCAAAGTCCATTGGATGGTAAATCACTTCCAGCTGCTGGGTGCTGCCACTGCAAGAGCTTTGCTCCCAGCTGTGAGAATAGATGAGCTGTGGCAGTGAGATTCCCCGGTGAGATTCCTCACTGGTACCCTCACCATCACTTTCCCTGCAAGTTTCCTCACATCAGGCTCAGATGCAGCACAGCAGCTTGGCACTTTCCCCTCCACATGCTCCAGCACTCAGCATACACATTACAGACTCCCTTCATGCTGAGACCATGCTTGGGACTGATAGGTGTGGCTGTGAAGCATCTGTGTGGTAACAGATCCGTGACCAAAATGGGCCATGATGGCGAGAAAGGGAAAATAGTCCTTCTGTGCTGAATTGCTGCCTGCGAGGTGGCCGGCTAGGAGCAGCTGGTGGCAAGCCTTGATGAAACTGAGGTCCAGCCTGATGTGCAGGGCTCTGCTGGTTGCCTGTTGCTGGGAGGTGGAAATCATCACTGAGACAAGTTCCTGGCCCAGAAGGAGCTGCGGAAAAATGAAGCATGTGCTTGGGACCACAGATGATTGGGTCAGCAAGTAAAAGGGTTTGTTTCACTGTGCTTCAGCTGAACATCTTGCAGTGCACTTTGAGTGGTCATGCCTTCCCCGCTGATATCCACAGAGCAGAGCTGGTTGTTCTGCTCTTGGGGAGTTTCTCCTCCACGGTCTGTTTTTCACAGGTCACCTCTGGGGATCTGTGGAGCCAACCCAACTATAGCCAGCCTGCGCAGAGCACGCTGAGGAGCTGGGATAACAGCGCTCTGAGGATGCAGACAATCTGATCAGACCTGCTAGCTGGGAACTGTCACAGTCTGCCTGCAGGGTGCTTTGCTGCCTTCCTAAGTGATGAGAACGCTGCCCTCGATTACAACAGCGACTTGTTTGCTGGCATCACTGCAATCTACGCCAAATGGTTTTATCATAATCACTGTGATGACTTCTTTGCCTTGAGTGATGCAGCCCTTACCTTCCAGGGGAGGATGGCTTTTGGCCCGTTCAGGTTGTTGGCACTCAGTGAGCTCGTCGGGATGCTCAGTGCAAAGGAGGCAGCGCCCTCCCTGCATTTTTATTTTTTCCATTCCACTTGAGTCAAACTGCAAAGCTTTCCAATTAGTTCAACAAATGTTTTCATAACTTAAATTTAATATTGTACACATGGGAAACATTAATTGTAACTTCAAACTTCTGTTAGCATTTTTTAAATCATAAAATCCATTATTTTAGTATGAGGAAGCAACCATTTCATTCCTTAAAGGAAGGCAGCAGAAAATTTCAGGCATTTTGATACAACATGTTTTTTTTCTCTCCAAGTATTTCCTGAGCTGTTAAAAATAAGTGGTATTTTCTGATTAAAAGATAGAAAGAAAGAATAATGCCAGAATGTTTCTAACAATCTGCACCAGAGCTGACAGGGCCACATCCTATGGCCTTTTCATGAGCTGCGTGTGACACCACAGAGCAAACAGGGCA